AATATACTTTAAATTAAGTTTATAATTCTTAACGTTTTTAAAAATATATTAATTATTTTAAATATTAATAACTTTTTTAAAGTAATAGTTTATTTTTATATAATTATAAATTTAATTATTAATAGTTATTTTTATTTATAAGCTATTAGAATTATAAACTTAGATATTATATATAGTAATAAAGTGTAGTTATTGTATTTAAAGGTTATCTTTTAATTTAATTAAATAACTACTTTTAAATAGTTTTACTTATAATATAATAGAGTTAATAGATAGGTATTTACTTAAATAGAGTTAAAACCTATATATATCTCTAGTTAAAGGAATAATAGCTTTTATTTTTATTTATTTTAATTAATTTATATTTAAGTTATATAATAATATTATATATAGTACTTAATAGTATTAAAACTAATTTATAATTTATAATAACTTTAATTTTTAATAGATTAATTTATATTAAAGTTAATAATATTAGTTTAAATTAATTAGATATAATTTAATATATTAATATAAAAGGTATTTTTAATAATAGATAGTATTATAAATATAGTAAATTATAAAGTTTCTATAAAAAGTTTTATATAATAAACTTAATTAAATTAATTTTAAAAGATATATTATATTTTATTTTTAAAACTCTAACTATTTACTTTTAATTTAATAATAAAATTAAAAAATATAAATAGTTTATAATTTATATAATTTAAATATAAATTAATTAAAATAAATAAAAATAAAATTATTATTTTTAATTTAAATATATATAAATTTTTAATTTTATTTTAAAATTAAATATTTATTTATTTATTTTATAAAATTATTTAAAAATAATTATTAAATTAAATTAAAATATAATTAAATAAATAAATTATAATTTATTATTATATATAATATATAACTTTATTATAATTAAAAATATTATATATATTTTTAAATATATATAAAATAAAAATAAAATTATATATAAATTTATAATTTTAATTATTTATAAATAAATAAACTTTAATTATTTTAAAATAAAATAATTAAAAAGTTTAAAAGTTTAAATTAAATTTAAAATTAAATATAATTATAATAATATAATATAATTAATTAAAAATTTAATTATAAAATTATAATTATTAGTTTTAATTTTATATTATGAAAAGTTATTTTAAATATATATAAAATAAAAGAATAAAATTTATAAAAATATATAATATAAACTTAATTTTTAAAAATAATTAAAAATTAAATATATTTATATAAATTTAAATTAAATTAAAATTAGTTTTTAATATTATATTATAAAAGTTATTTTAAATATATATAAAATAAAAATAAAATTATATAAAATTAAAATTAAATATTATAATTATATTTTATTATTAAAATTTATAAAAATATTTAATATAAACTTAATTTTTAAATATTTAAAAATTAAATATATTTATATAAATTTAAATTAAATTAAAAAAATAAAGAATTATAATTATAAATTTTTATTTTTATATATAAAAATATTATTAAATTTATAAATTATTTATTTTTAATTTTATTATTAAATTAAAAATAAATAATTAAAGTTTTAAAAATAAAATATAATATATTTTTAAAAATTAATTTAATTAAATTTATTATATAAAACTTTTATAATAACTTTATAATTATTTATAATATTATTTATTATTAAAAATATATTTTATATTAATATATTAAATTATATTTAATTAATTTAAATTAATATTATTAACTTTAATACAAATTAATTTATTAAAATTAAAATTATTATAAATTATAAACTATTTAATTTTACTATTTTTAAATATTATATATAAAATTATTATATAATTTAAACTTTTAAATAGAAATTAATTAAAATAAATAAAATAAAGTTATTATTTTTTAATTAAAGTTTTAACTTTATTTAAATAAATATTTATTAAATAAAATTATTTAAAAATAATTATTTAATTAAATTAAAAATAATTAAATAAAATAACTATATTTTATTATTATATATAATATTTAAATTTATAATTTTAATAAATTTATTATAAATAAAAATAATTATTAATAAATAAATTTATAATTATATAAAAATAACTTTTATTTTAAAAAATTATTATTATTTAAAATAATTAATATATTTTAAATTAATTAAAAGTTATAAATTTAATTTTAAATAAATTAAAATTTATAAAACTTTATATTTAAATTTAAAAGCTTTAATTTAAATTTAATTTATTTAAAAATATTAATTAAATTTTAAAAAGATTTAAATAAAATTAAAAATAAAAACTTAAATAAAAATAAAAATTAAAATTAAATTATAATATAATAAAATAATTAATTAAAAATTAATTAAAAATTATAATTATAAATTTTTTAATTTTATATTTAAAAGAAATTATTATATTTATATTATTATTATTATTAAAAATTAAGCTAATATCTACTTACTTAGTAATTATATTTACTTACTTAGTTTTTTTTAATTATTTACCTAATATAAAAATTTATATATAAAGCCTATATAAAACTATATACCTAACTAGGATTCTCTAAATTTTTAATACTTTTAATATAAACCCCTTCTATATACCTTCTAATACACCTTCTAGTACACCTTCTAGTACACCTTCTAGCACGCCTTCTAGCACACCTTCTAGCACCCCTTCTAGCACGCCTTCTAGTACGCCTTCTAGCACGCCTTCTAGCACCCTTCTAGCACGCCTTCTAGTACGCCTTCTAGCACGCCTTCTAGCACCCCTTCTAGTACACCTTTTAGCGGGCCTTCTAGCCTGCACGCATTTAGGTACTAATTAAGCGTTTAAATGCTAATTAAATACTAGAAGGTTAGAAGTCTATAGGGCTAGAAGGCTAAAAGGAGGGCTAGAAGGCTAGAAAGTATATACTCTTTACCTTTACCTTCTTAGCTTCTAGCCCTCTAGTGTTTAGTTAGTATCTAAATACTTAGTTGGTACTTAAATATAGGCGTACTAAAAGGTGTACTAGAAGGGGCTTATACCAAAAATATTAAAAATTAGAAAAGGAAATTGTGCCATAAGGTCTCTTAATACTAACTTAAAAGGTACTTATAAACATAAAGGAGTTACTTAAAAAAATTAGTATTAGGTAAGTGGTTGGTAGGAACTAAATAAGTAAATATAATTACTAAATAAGTGAATATTAACTCTTAAAAATATATTTTAAGTTAATATATTAAATTATTTTTAATTAATTTAATTTATAATTATTATTAATTTTAATATAAATTAATTTAATATTAATAAATATTATATAATTTAAATAATTATAATTTAATTAAAATAAAAATAAATAAATATTATTATTATTAAAAATATATAGAAATTTTAATTATATTATATGTAATTATTTAAAATAATTACTTAATTTATTATATTATTAAATTAAAATATAAGTTTTAAATATATAATTTTAATAATAAATAATATAATAAATATAAATTATAAAATAATATATTTATTAATATATAATTATATTTATATATAAAATATAAATTAATATTTATTTATTTAATAATTATATTTATTTATTTAATTTTCTTTAATTATTTATTTAATATAAAATTTATATATAAAGTTTATATAAAATTATATATTTAATTAAAAATTTTAAATTTTAATATATTTAATATAAATCTTTTATATACTTTTAATAAGTTAATATCTATTTATTTAATAATTATATCTATTTATTTAATTTCTATTAATTATTTATTTAATATTAATTTTTAAGTAACTCTTTTATATTTATAAATACTTTTAAATTAATATTAAAAGACTTTATAGTATAATTTCCTTTTTTAATTTTTAATACTTTTAGTATAAGCTTTTTTAGTACCTCTTTTAGTATACCTTTTAGTACCCCTTTTAACACCCCTTTACTTTTACCTTTACCTTTATCTTTACTTTTACCTTTATTATTTAATTTATATATATTTAAATATTAATTAAGTATTTAAATATTAATTAAATATTAAAGAGTTATAAGTTAAGAAAGTAAAATAAAAATTATATACTTTTAACTTTTTAATTTTTCTTTTAACCTTTAACCCTTTAATACTCTAAACTTCTAGCCTTTTAGCGTTTAGTTAGTATTTAAATGCTTAGTTAGTACCTAAATGTATGTAGTTTAGAAGAAGGTGTGCTAAAAGGTGTGTTAGAAGGTGTGTTAGAAGGTATATTAGAAGGGGTTTATATTAAAAGTTTTAAAAATTTAAAGAATTCTAATTAGATATATAGTTTTATATAGGCCTTATATATAAATTTTTATATTAGGTAAGTAGTTAGTAAAAAATTAGATAAGTAGATATAATTATTAAATAAGTGAATATTAACTCCTTTTTAATATACCTTTTAATACCCTTTTTAATATACCTTTTAAGTTTTTTAATTTATATATATTTAAGTATTAATTAAATATTTTAATATTAATTAAATATTAAAGAGTTATAAGTTAAGAAAGTAAAAATAAAAATTATATACTTTTTAACTTTTTAATTTTTCTTTTAACCTTTTAACCCTTTAAACTTTTAACTTTTTAATATTTAATTAATATTTAAATATTTAGTTAGTATTTAAATATATATAAGTTAGAAGGTATGTTAAAAGGTATATTAGAAGGTGTGTTAGAAGGTGTGTTAGAAAGGGTGTTAGAAGGGGTGTTAGAAGGGGTATTAGAAGGGGTATTAGAAGGGGTATTAGAAGGGGTTTATACTTAAAGTATTGAAATTAAAGAAGGAAATTATATTATAGGGTCTTTTAATACTAACTTAAAAGATACTTATAAATATAAAGGAGTTATTTAAAAAAATTAATATTAAGTAAGTAATTAATAGGAATTAGGTAAGTGGATATAATTGTTGGGTAAGTAGATGTTGGCTTATAAAATATAATTAGTCTGTAGTTATATTTATATTTCTTTATTTATCTTTATATAGAGCCTACTACCCCCCCCCTAGGTGTGTTAAACTAGTTTCCGACCATGGATATTCTCCCCTCAACCTGTGGCGCGATGGCCTTGGTCCAGTCACAGTCAACTTCATTCTCCCGAAGGCCGTCCCCAGCGCTTGCATTGACGCCAGCCTTTTTACACCATTTCCGAAACGTCTTCCTCATGATCCTCAGCTCAGCTTCCTCGTCGTCGTCTTGCTCCGCAATGCCCTCGAGTGGCCTGGGCTCCGGGGAAGGGCTGGAGCCATCATGCTCAACGTCGGTCTCCCTCTCTGTCAGCGGCCCCACACTACTCCTCCTCTGGCGCATCTTTTCTGGGGAGAAGTGCTCCCAGCCTCGCCTAGATGACTTGCTTGATATCGGCGTCACTGGGGTCTGAGCCACGGGGGAGGCGACAGTTGCAGGTTTCGGCTCCATGCACGGGTGGGACTTGGTGACGTTGGAAACAACCTTGCCCCAGTGGCGCTTCATGGAGGGTCCGAAGCCCGCCCATTGGTCAAGGACTTTGAGGGACATGAAATACTGTCTCAGCATCATAGAGATCAGAATGCCGTTCTCCTCCGAGACGAGCTCAACGGCCTGGCCGCCTTCCTCCTCGATAAGAAGGGATTTGTAGCCGTCTGTGCCAACATGGTCAGCGACCCCGAGTGGGACATGCTTGAGGGTTCGGATTTGACTGACCTTTACCGCGGCCCATGTAGCCCCTGGTGGCAAGCACATAAGTCTTGTCGGGGAGGTACCCATCGCCAGCAATGTCCACTGTGGTAACCCTGTCGCCCACTGCTCTTTTCGGGTCGAAGGTAAAGCGGATGTTGGAGACCTGCGGGAAACGCCCTTCCAGTGCCGGGTACAGACTCACGGCGTTCTCGAGGGCCTCTCGTATGGCCTGGCCGGTAACCCTGAGGACCACGACGGGGTCCTCAAAGGGGAAACAGTCGGTGATATCCCTGACGCGGATGGGGCCTGGGGGGTAAACCTGGTCACCACGGATGGTGCCAGCGGCCATTAGTGCACAATCGGCCGAGTCTGTGCCGGGCGCGCGCAGGAGTCAGCCAGCCAGCGGCGAGCGGCGAGCGGCGAGCGGCGAGGGGTGAGGGGTCGGGGCAGTGGGTGTGGGCTGGGCAACCTACAGTGATGGCGCATGATATCGCAGACAAAGTTGCCAATGTTTGATTCGCGCAGGCGAACGGTGGTGAAGCGGGCATCGAGGGGGGCAGCGGTCCAGCCGACGGGCTTCTCGAGGGACTGCTTCAGCTTGGCGGTGAGCTTGCTTGCCAGCTCGAGGGTGGGGGCGTGCTCGGGGACGGAGGAGACGATGTCGCGGCGGTAGATGACAAATTGCCAGGGCCTGGGGGAGCCGGGCGGGGCCCTGCGGGCCTCGATGTAGCTGAGCTGTTTGAAGTCGGTGCCGGACCTCAGGACGTGGCAGCCGTTGATGAAGCTGTGGGCGTAGTAGTGGTCGTGGCCGCCCAGGATGAGGTCGATCTGGTCGCCGACGTTCTCGGCCAGCTTGTTGTCGTTTGGCTCACGCATGTGGGTGAGGGCGACGACCAGGTCGGCGCCGTCGCGGCGCAGCTGGGGGACGAGCTCCCTGGCGGTCTCGGTGGCGGACTTGTAGATGAGGCCCGGGGGGAGCGAGTTGATGGTGTCGAGCCACTCGCGCTCGCCGAGGCCGATGATGCCGATCTTCAGGCCGTTGGAGGCGGTGATGATGTGGGTGCGGCGGGCGTTGCCGATGGGGACGTCCGGGCCGAGGGCCGGGTCGAGGACGTTTGCAATCAGCCAGGGAAAGGAGCACCTGGCGGCGAGGGTGCGGAACTGGCCGACACCAAAGTCGAGGTCGTGGTTGCCGAGGCTGGCGCAGTCGGTGGCGAGGGCGTTGAGGACAGGCACCATGTGGCTGCCCTTCGTGATGGAGCTCTCGAGGCTGGGGTTGAAGGCGTCGCCGGAGAAGAGGGTGAGGCAGGCGGGCTGGTCCCTGAAGCGGTCGCCCTGCTGGTATTCCTTGCAGACGGTCATGAAGCGGGCAATGCCGCCCACGGGCTCGGCCGAGGAGGCGTCCAGGTGGTAGACATCGTTGTAGTGGAGCAGCCTCAGGTCGGGAGGACTGGCCGTCGGGCTGCCGTACGTGACGACCTCGTCCGCCGTGGGCTCGGTCTCGAGGGGAGGCATTCTCGAGCTTGGCTGGCCGGGCTGGCCGGTGTCAGAGACCCCGGGGTGGGTGAGTGAGTGGGTGGGTGGGTGAGCAAGTGAGTGAGGCCAGAGTGAGACGAGGCGATGGGGGTGAGGTGCGGGCAGGGTGCAGGGCGCAGGCGAGTGCAAGTGCAAGTGCAGATGAAGGTGCTGCCAACGAAGCGACCAGGGATGGAGGCAGACAGACAACGCATGCGCGTGCCACGGCGGTGAGACGGCCCCGGCGCTGCTGCAGGTAGGTGCTGTGCTGCATGTACGGAGTACATGCCAAGCCGCGACGACTCCGCTGCCACACACGAGACAAAGGACCTGACAGTAGACCAGTACTCCGTAGACCCGACTCAAGGCAATGACACCCGCCTGCAGCTTCCGACCCGGACCCGGCGCCCGTCGGTACGGCACGGCACTTGTGTGCCTGATGGGATGGTCCTGGGTACCTAGGTACCTAGGTACTTACTTTTGGGGGCCTGGTCCGTGAGTCTGCCTGGTGAGGTGCGCGAATGCGCGTGAGGTACGTACCCAGCCAGGACTGGACTGAAACGAACCTCATATATGGGCCTTCGGACCTTCAGACCTTCAGACCTCAGACCTCAGACCTCAGACCTCAGACCTCAGACCTCAGACCTCAGACCTCAGTCACCACCCCCAGATACTGTACACACTAATCCGTCCCTGACAACCTGGCTGGCATCCTGCACCTTGATCTTGCCACCAACCACCGCCGTCATGTCTGCTTCCGGCCGAGCTCTCGTGCGGCACGCCCGGCGTCAAGGTCCGTGTCTGACCAGCCCCGCCACCCGCCACCCGCCGCCCACATCGGCCCGGGCCTGCTGTATCCGCCCCTGCTCACGTGACCCCCCCCCCTTCCAGACGTACCTGCCATCCTAGGCCTTGTCAAGGAGCTCGCAGACTACGAGCATGAGCTCGCCTCGGTCGAGGCTACCGTCCAGAAGCTCGGCTCCACCATCGCCTTTGCGCCCTCGGAGCTCTCCCCGCGCGAGCCCACCACCGACGCCCGCGGCCTGCCCATCACCGAGCCCACCACCCCGCTCCGGCCGGCCAGGTGCCTCCTGTTGTATGCGCCCGGCGACGACACCGCCCCCGTGGGCATGGCCCTGTACTTTTACAACTACTCGACCTGGCGCGCCAGCCCTGGCATCTACCTCGAGGATCTCTACGTCACCCCGCGCCAGAGGAACAAGGGCTACGGGAAGCTCCTGCTGGTGACCCTGGCCAGGGAGGTCGTGGCCATGGGCGGCGGCAGGCTGGACTGGAGCGTCCTGAGGTGGAACGAGCCCAGCATCCGCTTCTACGAGGACGTCATTGGCGCGACGCGCCAGGAGGAATGGCTGGGCATGCGGGTGGACAGGGACGCGCTTCTCAAGCTGGCCCGGCTGCTGGACTGAGGGCACGTAGAGAGAGGTAGACAGCCAACGGCGCGCAATACAGCAACAGTCACCTGTTTTTGCCCTTGCTCTTGCTCTTGTCCTTGCCCTTCTTGGCCCTGGTGGCCGCAGGGGCCCCGTCGAACAAGGTGGCGTGACCGGCCGCCGCGACAGGCACGTCCTTGGGCACCTTGCCCCAGGTGATGTCCCACCTGTCCTCGGCGCCGGGCCTCGCCTCCATGGTGGGGGTCAGCTCCCACACCCTGGCGAACAGGCGGCGCAGTGTCCTGGGTGTGTAGGTGTGCATGCCGATGGGGGCGCCCTGCCCGTGCGGGCCCGGCACGGGGCGGCCGGTGCGGCCCCGCTGCGACCTGGAGCTGGCCCGCTCGGCGGCGCGCACGGGCTCGGTGGCGTGGGCGTGCCAGCACCACCGTGTGTTCACGCCGTGGCTGCCTCGTAGGGGGACGGCGGGCGGGCGTCGCTGCGGCATCTGGCAGAGGGCACTGCTGTCGGGGCGGCCCAGGGCGAGGGCGCGCAGGGTGTCCCAGTCGGCGGCGGGCAGCGGGGGCAGGATGCGGTTGACCAGGCGCACGTACTCCTTGCGCAGCTTGCTCCGGGCCAGGGCGGCGGGGAGCGGCCTCTCCCAGATGTTGGTGCGGGGCAGCCTGGCGGCCGGGTCTGTCTGGCTGGCCCTGATGTCGGGGCGGGGGCTCTGTGGCGGGCTGCGCCTGGCCTGGGAGTCGGCGAGGGCGCGCAGCTTGCGGGTGTCCCAGGCGTCCAGCCAGTCGCGTGGCCGCTGGGCGGGCGAGCCGTCCTTTGCGCGGTAGGTCCGGGCCTGGCTGTCGGCGGCGACGGCGGCCTCGAGCTGGGCAGGGTCGGCGGGCGGGTCCTGGCGCAGGAGGGAGCGGACGAGCAGCCTCCTCCTGCTGCCGGTCCTGCCGAAGACGAGCAGCAGGACGCGGTGCAGGTTGTGCACCAGGCCGTTGTTGGCGGCGCTCAGGAAGCGCAGGTCGTGGCGGGCCTGGCGGAGGCGGCGTCTTGTCTGCGGGCAGGCGGGCGGGTCGCGAGCATGTCGGCGGAAGCGGTTCACGATCTGCTGTCTGACGAACGGCTGGCATACGGGGGGCAGGTACGAGGCCTGGCGGAGGAGCCCGCGGTAGACGTGCAGGGCGGGTGAGGCCGCCGCGGCGACCAGGGAGCGGCGCATGGTCGTGCGTGCGGTTGGACGACACAGATTATTGTTGTTGTTGTTGATGATGATGTGGTACCGTGTAATAATAGCAAGCAGGGCAAGGAGTACCTGGGTACCTAGGTACCTAGGCCAGTACTCCGTACGGAGTACAGATCGTGCTCCGTACTACAGTAATCCGGCGCGTGTGGTGGGTGCGCCGGGTGGCCCGTGCACGGGCGACCACACACGAACTCCGCACGAAACAGACACGTCCCGGGGCGTCGACGTCGCCTGCAGCCCATGCACGCACTCAAATGTCCCTGGGGAGGCAAGCCACCTAGGTACTTGATGTATCCGGTTCTTCCTGACACCCTGCTCACCTGACCTCGCGTCCGTAGGGGCTGGTAGTCGACTAATCTCCTGAACGTCCCCGTCCTGTCCCGTCCTGTCCCGTCCTGTCCACGGGTCGACATCGCCAGCCACGGTCGCGCATTTCAGCCTCGTGAGCTGAACTCCCTCGGCCTCTGATCGAGAACAATCCATTGTCGCAGTGTCAATGGCCCTCTGATGCTCGCCCATCTCGTTCCTCTCACGCCCATGTCCATGCCACGCCCGTCCTCGCATCAGCATCACCTCCCCCCTTCGCAATAGTCCGCCAGCCTCGCCGTCAGCGGCCCTTGCCCTCAGCCTGTCCGCCCCCGCCTCCGCCGCCTACCACCAGCCCACCACCAAGCACAAAGAAGCCTGCAGACCCCTTGCCACCCACCATGGACGACGACCCTTTCCCCCAGATCTATTCTGTCCGTATCTCCCCTCCCCCGCCGTTTCCTGCCGCCCACTGATCGCTGCGCCGGCCGTGCCGCTGACCTTGCTTCCGCAGTCCGTCTACTCCGGCGTCGAGGTCTACGAGATGGAGGTCAACAACGTCGCCGTCATGCGCCGCCGCCACGACAGCTGTCTCAATGCCACCCAGATCCTCAAGGTCGCCGGCCTGGACAAGGGGAAACGCACAAAGATCCTCGAGAAGGAGATCCAGACCGGCGAGCACGAGAAGGTCCAGGGCGGCTACGGAAAATACCAGGGCACTTGGATATCTTATGAACGGGGCGTCCAGGTCTGCCGCCAGTATGGGGTCGAAGACCTCCTCCGCCCCCTGCTGACATACGATATGGGCCAGGACGGCAATGCTGCGGGCCGTGGCGACCTCAACACCCCCACCAAGGAGCAGGCCATGGCTGCCCAGCGGAAGAGGCTCTACAGTCAGCCCATGAGCAACAGGTCCAACAGCATGTCTGGCACCTTTTTCAAGAACATATCCTCCACCGCCTCCAACGCCGTTGCCGCCATCAGCAAGGCCAGGCTAGACTCACCGGCGCCCAGGGGCCGCGGCGGCCTGTCAAGGGCCCCCAGCTTCAACCGCCAGCCCTCTGCCTCGATGCAGAGCGTCGACGACTTCCCTGCCAACTCGCAGCAGAGCTTCGCCTCCGACCACGCCCGGAACGGCGACTCTGCCTACCCTGCACAACGCAGCAGCGCGCAGCCGACGGGCGTCGACGGGGCCGAGCCTCCCAGGAAGAGACCGAGGGTCGCGGTGACGCCGGCAGATAGCTTCGGCCACCTGCAGTCCCAGTCGCAATCCCAGTCGCAATCCCACTCTCAACCACAGAGCATGTATATGAGTGCCGACAACTTCCCGGGCTCCCCCACCGAGCCAAACGAATCCTTCATCTACTCCCAGCACGGTCTGAACCTGCATCAGGTCGAGGACCACGACGGTGTTTCCCCCCTGCCACCCCTGCCCTACGACGAGTCTGTGGATGCCGAGGCCACACGCAAGACACTACTGACTCTCTTCGCGGAGCCCGCCGATCCCGATGCTTTCGAAGAGTTGCGGTCCTTGACACCCCTGGAGCTGGACATGCCCATCGACAGCCAGCAGCACACCGCCTTGCACTGGGCCGCCACGCTGTCGCGCATGAGCATCGTCCAGGCATTGATCAGGCATGGGGCCAACCCCTTCCGGGTGAACTCGGAGGGGCAGACCGCCCTCATGCGCGCCGTCATCGTCACAAACTCTCACGACAACTTTTCCTTCCCCGAGCTGCTTGATCTCCTTGGCCACACCCTTGAGGTGGCAGACAACAAGGGTCGCACGGTACTGCATCACGTTGTCGTCACGAGCGCCATCGAGCGCCGCCACGCCACGAGCAAGTACTACCTCGACTGTCTGCTTGAGTGGGTTGTTCGCCAGGGTAGCGCCCCGAGCAGTCAGGACCACGCCGCGAACCCCACCGGCCCACACCAGTCAGGTAGCGCCCACAAGATAGGGCTGGGCCGATTCATGATCGAGGTCGTTAATGCCCAGGACAAGGCCGGCGACACAGCATTAAACCTGGCCGCTCGGATATCGAACCGGAGCATCATCTCACAGCTCCTCGAGGTGCATGCCGACCCTTCAATACCAAATCGTGTCGGCCTGAGGCCGGTAGATTTCGGCATCGGCGAACTGCCCGATGCGGATCGGGATGTCGAGGACGTGGCAAAGAACGATGTAGCCGTCAGCACGCAGAGGAGCAAAGAGAGTAGCGATGATATCGTCGCCTGTAAGTCAGGTACACCTCGCGAAAAAGGTCGACCGTTGCTAATCAGCTTGCAGCTATGAAGGACCTGTTGGGAGAGACGGCCGCGATTGCGCAGGAAGAGCTCAAGGCAAAGCAGGAGACCCTCGACGAGCTCCAGACGGCGCTGAGGGCGAACTCGTCAAGGCTTGCCGAGACGCGGCGGAACCTCGAGGTCGTCAAGGAGAAGGCAAAACAGCAGCAGGTCAACAGGCAACAGGTTGCGAACCTCTCCCGCGAGCTTGAGAGCCTACAATACCGCATGGGTCACATGGATAATGAGCAGGCCGCATCACAGAGCAACTCTGCCGCAGCCTGGGAGGACGAGCTCGAAAGGGCGCTAAACTCGGCCGAGCACCAGCCCGCATTGCCGGATGCTGGTATCCTCCGAGCCCGTCTAAAAGCAACGACTGATATCCTGAACACGATGAAAGACAAGGTGTCGAACCTGAAAGGAACGAGCCGGGATATCGAGTACAAGTATAGGCGCCTGGTTGCCCTGGCGGCCAACTGCCCTGAGAGCCAGGTTGACGATTTATTAGAGGGGTTAGTGCGGGCTGTGGAGAGTGAGAAGGGAGAGTTGGAGATTGGTCGCGTGCGGAAGTTCCTGGGCGGCGTGGGCGGACCATAGCTTGCTCCGCCCTCCGGGGTTGAGATGCAATACACGCCCCGCAGTACATGATGCCCGGTTTGTACAGCGGGAATAGTTCGACATCTGTGCTCCGAGGTTGGTCATTACATACGGTCTGGTTGTAGCCAATTGTCAGAGTATGATTGGGCCTCTCTGTTTTGTTATTCGGTCTGGGGGAAATGGGGCGGCGCGAGGGGGGTGCAATTTTGCATGATACCATCAACCGCCTTTTAGTCGGTCTCTTAGTTTTTCTGTTCGCTAGTCATCATCAAAACTTGGCTGTTTATGGCGTGGACGTGCCAAATCAAGTCAATGGATTCAAGTGCAGCAAGAGTCAAATAATCATCACACAACAAACCGAAGTATGCCGCTCTATACGGTACAAGGGATTGCTCTCAACATGCACTATGCGGGTGCTTTGGCGATGAGTGTGCCACCTCTCACCTGAGGCGCCGCTGCATTCAAGCCCACGAGGTCACTGCCTTGGACCCCAGCATGGGAATTATGATGTGCAACCAAGACACACCCCCCCCCCTTCCAGCTCGGGGACGATCTCTTGCCCGGGAGCAATCCTAGGCTTTTGCTCTCCAAACACCTCACTACAACGAGATAATTGACACCCAGTGGCAGGACTGGCAGCACACAATGCAGAAGATTACAGTTCCTGAGGGAGTGTTTCAGCTATGTCTACGGCTTTCTAGGTAACACCGGAAATGCCAAAATCTTAGGGCCCGGTCTCGATTCCACTCATGTTCCCCTCCCCTCCCCGTGCGCGATGCAATAGAAAGGCTTCATCTGAGCTCATCCCCGTGTTCCTGGAAAATCACCGAGGCCACCATGTTGGGCGTTCTCCGACAGGCCTCTGATTGCTAATCATATTCGCTGCCTTCGTTGAGGAGAGCCAGCGCCCAAGGGCATGGCCCCGCCACCAGAAGCAAGTTTACTTTGTTCCATGCTCACTGCTGTCATCATCATCATCATCGTCATACACAAGCTCTTCTGAATCCTCGAGGGAATTCCGGCCATTGTAGTCCTCGGGCAGGTCGGGGACCTCGTCGAGCTGCGTTTCCCCTTCGCATTCACCCCAATCATTGGTTTGAGTCGGGTCGCAGAATTGGGCTACCCAGCTCAGCTTGCCTGTGATCTCCAAGCTTTGTCTGTCGATCACGAAATGGAGTCTGTAGACGCAATTTCTGCCTCTGATGAGTTGAAAGGCTTCGAAGTATGTGTTGAATCTCGAGCCTCTTGCCGGCTTCTGGTAGCAGCAGAGCGCGTGGTCTTGCCTGCATCTGTAGTGGGTCGTGTTTGGATAAGTGGGTGGGAGCAGGCGCTTGTAGTTTTGGATGGAGTCTTCACAAGGTATTGCCCGCTCTCTGAGCCCGATCAAGTCTGCTGCTCCTCCACCAAGGCCCTGTTCGGCCGAAGAGTCAAGGATGGTCGGAGATGGAGCCTGGCGGGCACAATCACCAGTGACACCCAAGCATTCGAGGCAGCCCTCTTCAGTGACGGCCACCAAGCCTCCTGTCGACTGTGGTCAGCCCAGATCCAAGCGCATGTGAGGAGACGTGCGCTGCTAGTGGATTGTCAACGCACCAAGGTTCAACGCACCAAGGTCAAGAGAGTACCCTTCCGGTCTGGCATCCGAGCCATTGAGGTCGCAGTCGCAGAGCAGGTGGGCGACGCCCTGGTCGCGCTCGTCCTTGTTGACAATAGAGCATAGTCTGCAATGGCTGGCGGAGGCGGCACTGCATCGACGCATAGCGTCAGCTTGGTGTATGACCAGAGGGGTACGACTGCTTACTCTTGTGCAGGGGCCAGCCCCCATGCGCGTCCGCCCAGGCCAAGGTTGGCCTTTCTAGGGCCCCATCCCAGACACCGGTTGAGGTCGACCGAGGTCAGCTTGGGATCTCCGGTGCCGTGGCATATTCCGGACAGCACGCCACCGTTGTAGTCAATGGACAAGTCATGACAGACATCGAGCAAGCCGGATGCAGCCCGAGAGAAAGCTGGTTGAGCCAGGAATGGGGTGAGGCGGGAGAGGAGGCTCTTGGGACTCTTCATCTTTGCGGTTTCGCGGCGTCTTGTTCTCGTGAGTCAAGGTCAGAATGCCAAGGGGCGGATATTCAGGACAGGTTGTCAAGTGACCGGTACGATAGCTATGAGAAATAGGGTGCTGAGGTCAAGAAGTAATGGATGATGGATCGTGCTTGATCAAGAAAAGGTGTCGCCTGTGTGAAAGTCGTAGCTCGGCTTGCGAGGGAGGCGATGTGTAAATAAACACCTGGGCAGGGAGACGGATGGGTGGTCGCGGCGCCTGGGCGCCTGCCTGCCACGAGTGTCATTGTGTCCTTGTCTGAGCCGAGGACAGGAAGGAAGGAAGGAGATGGCAGAGTGCTTCCAGGTGACGACCAACCAATGTTACGTTGGTAGGCACCTGGGCACCTCCGTACCTACCTAGGTAGGTAGGTAGTTCCTTGGGCAGGTAAACAAGCCATGGCCCGTCGGACCTGCCAGATATGAAATGGTTGCTGATGGCTCTCCCTCATTTATACAGTCTACTGGGAGCCCACAGAACGAGGTTTAGTAGAGGCCCTTACTTGATAAACACCCCCCCCCCCCGGCCCCTTGTCTTATTTCAAGGTTTTATTTTTCTTTCCTCCCGCCTGTTCAGTTGGCTGGGTAAAGCGCCGAACTACCTAGTTATGTGAAGAATGTCAGTCTGTCTGCCATCAGCCGTGCGTGTGTTGCGTCGGAATGTGATTAGATGGTAGGTTCAGTAAAGTGCGTCGAAGAAATCATCCTTCCCTGAACGCCCACGCTATGTCTCAGTCCTTCTTTCCGGCAAGCTGCAGTGGTAGATCTTGTGCCGGCTCCGTCCACGCGCTGCCGAGGGGTGGACGAGTAGCAAAGAAACCGCTGCCACTACCTTGCTGCACACTCCGCTCAAGCTGCTGCCCTCTGCGAATACAGACCCTCCCAGCGGTTTTCCACCCCGTCCACGGCGCTGCTCAGGGCGTTGATCTCGCGGTCCAGCTCCTCTATATTTTTGTTCAACGCCCCGACTTCCTCGAACCGCCGTGAAGCCCGAGCATTGTTGACCATCTCCTGCACCAGGAATCTCTGCTCCTCCAGCACCACCAGTCTCTCCCGGAGCTCCTTCTCCTCCGTCTCGAGCGCAGACACCGCTGTGCTCGTTTCGCTGCCCCCACCAAGGCTGGCCGTTTCAGACCCCGGCTCGGCCGACTCGCCTTTGCGTAAGGGGGACAGCGCTCCAGGCACCGATGAGGCGCTACCATGCCGTTCTGTGCCACCCAGTAGCCGCCTGTGACCGCCCGGGTTGCCCGGGCTGCTAAGGTTCCTCTTGAGCATCTGGGGCAAGCTCTTCATGGGAAGCATGTAGGTGTGTAGAAATGAGCTTGCGGCTGTGTACACGTTCTTCTGGAGCCTCAGCTGCGTCGGGCTCGTGGTCTTCATATCACGGATGCGCTTTGCCGCCACATGGTATTTCGCAAAGCTGTCCGTCAGCCTCTTCCGCAGCTTGTTCGCCTCCTGGATCTGTGCGCGTGATGGTGGCGGCCTGTCTGACAGCAGTTCATCATCTGGCGGCTGGAGGGCCACGAGCGCCCTTTGGAACGATGGCATCAGCAGCCGGATTCCGCGCTCGAACTGGCGAAGTGTCTCGTAGGCCCTCTGGTCTGGTGGTTTGAGTGTGACGGCCTCCTGGAAGTCGCGCTTGGAAAATATGGTATGCTTGCAGTCGCGGCACATTCGCACGTCGACGCCAATGTGGCTGCCCTTGGGCGATTCGGGCTTCTCGTTACCGGTCCCGTTGGATACCGGCTTGGTCACGTTCAGCCCAACCTCGCTGGAGCACTCGGTCTGCGCGTCCGCGCAGACAACCCTGCCGCACATTCGGCAATGGTGCCTCCTGAAGGACCAGGAGAACTCCTGCTGGCAGAATGGGCATCGGGGGACCCTGGCGTCTTCTTCCCATGTCACAACAGACTGCTCAAGCTGCTTCCGTGCATTTTTCTGTCCGGCCAAGGAGGCGACTGGGGTTAGCAGTCCCGCACCGCCCCCGACCGACTCATCCAGGGGGCGCGCCAGGAGCTGGGTCAATTTGGTCAACCTCTTCTCCAGCCTCTGTATCTCAAGGTTTTGCCTGTCAACCTTCTTCCTCCTCGTAGCGACAAAGAAGTCCGTGTGGTCGACCATGACGCCGCCATGATCATTGTACCCCTCTCTAGACTTGTAGCAAGTCTCGCACACCCGACACCAGTAACCCCTGACGGGCTCATGGGCCGCCGACCTCGAAAGCTTCATTTGGTATAAGGTATGCAGCTCACAGAACAGCCTGCCGCAGTTCCTGCAGTTGACGTTGCCGTCCAGGGCCCCCAAGCTCTTGCCACATGACGGCTCAGTGCACCTGTCGTTGCCGGTGGAGCGTTGCCAGTGTTTCCTCGTCACCAGCTCGTCCGGGTCGATGACGGTGTCGAGGGGAAGCCTGGGGCCGGCTGTGGCAGGAGGCGGCGCGATGGGCTGGGACTCGTTTGGCTCGAAGACGTCAAGGCCGCGTAGTTTGGAGTTGATGATTGACAGGGGCTGGAAGCGCCTCGCCTTGAGGACTTGCTTGTCGAACCATGTCTTGACCTCATCCTGCTGGACCTCGGGAAGCTCTTGGTGGTTGTCGTCGATGTGGCGGTTGAGTTGGAGCAGCGTCAGCTGTACAGGCGGGGGGGAAGTTGTTCAGCGGTGTCCTCGGCAGGAGCCAAGTCTGGTTGGGGGCAAGAGACGAGGTGCCTACCATCTCATCGTCACATATCGGACAGACCAGCCTCGGGCTGGAGGCGTCGGCATCGGAAGGGCGGCCGATGCTGATCCTGGAAGCAAGATCTTGGGGGCCAAAGTCGGCGATGGGGGTGGAAGAGGAGGGTGGGGAGATGGAGTTCTGGGAGGTGGAATAGTGGTCGGTGGAGGAGGCGTCCGAGGGCGCATAGGGGCTGGTCTCGCGGGCGCGGGGCTTCGATGTTGGATGGGTAGGGTGCGGGGGCGCGATGCCCTTGCCGTTTCCTATGATCCTCCCTCCCCCGAGCTTCCGGGCCGACATGATGGGCGTCGTGCTGCCTGGCGACGGTGCACCGCCGCAGGGCTCTGAGGACGGACCGTAATATAACCTGACGGACAACGATGTGGGTGCGGGTGATGTGGCACGAGGTCGCAACAAGCTCACATGATGGTAGGAGCCTGTGGTGACAGAGTGAACAGTTACCCCCCAAGTCCCGTGCTGCCGTGTCCTGTCTGGCGTTGCGGGCGTCGTCGTCGTCGTCGTCGTCGTCGTTGTCGTCGGTGCAGTCGCAGTTGTGTGTGCAGTACGCAGTACGGAGTAGACCCGCTGTTGGAACCATGAACCTGGGTCGCCGTAGTAGTGTAGATTACCTGCATGTGGGGTGCCAATACACACAGTGTGGCTGGGCCGGCCTGCGAGGTACCTTGGTACCTAGACACCTAGGTACCCATGTGCTCCGTGCCGACAATCATTCATTGGCATTTGTGGTGCCGAGATCGCCTCGCCCGATCAAGGGATCCCGCCTCATGTTTGGCAGATCTTGCGTGTCAACCTAAAATCAAACCCCATTTACCATATCGTTGTCGAACTGGTTAGTATAGTTCATTTCTCTGGGTTTTGATTATTTTTTTCTCGGTTTTTTCCTTCTTTTTTTTCTTCTTTATTCTGGTTTGATTTGGTCTGGTCTGATCTGTTTGTTTCCCCATTGCGCCTCCTGTTCAGTGCCGTCAACCTGCCTTTCGAGACCGCTGCGTTGTTTGAGACGAGCTGCTCCGCATATCTCAGGCGTAACCAACTCCGGTAGACATGCTCCACCCCACCCCCCATCCCCCGAACTGCGTTGCGGCCATTGGGTGACACCCACTCCCCATGTCCATCTCGTTAACGAGTTTTCCAGCTTGCATACCATAACAACAACATTCCGGGACCCCCGTTGGCGATCGATAGCCCAGCATGGGTTCAGAGCACGGCCAGTTTCCCGAGGTCCAGGGCGGAGGTAGCCTCATCCTCGCCTGGCAGATCAAAGCCAAGAACGTGCTGGTCGTCGGCGGCGGCGAGGTAGGCGAACCCTGTCGTCCCGCCCAGTTGTCCTCACTTAACATTGACATGCCTGACGCTTCCTCCGCACAAGGTCGCGGCCGGACGTATTCTCAACTGCCTCAACGCCGATGCCGCCGTCACCGTCATATGCCCCTCGTCTGGCCTCAACCCAGAAGTAGCACACCGCGTCTCCTCCGGCCAGGTGACCCACATCGACAGGAAGTTCCAGCCGGGCGACCTTGACCCGGACAAGAACGTGAGCATGGTCCTGACCGCCATCGACGACCCGGAAGCCTCCACCCACATCTGGAAGCTGTGCAAACAACGCCGCATCCCCGCCAACATTGCCGACGTCCCGCCCGAGTGCGACTTCTACTTTGGCAGCGTCCATCGCGACGGGCCCTTGCAGGTCATGGTGTCTACAAACGGCAAGGGGCCCAGGCTGGCTGCCTCCATCCGCAAGCAAATCGCCGCCACCCTTCCCAAGAATGCCGGCGCCGCCGTCGACAAGGTGGGAAGGCTGCGGGCCATGCTGCGCAAGATAGAGCCTGGTCCCGAAGCTGTAGCCAGCAGGATGGGCTGGATGATCAAGGTGTCCGATGAATACAGCTGGGAGGCCTTTTGTGACCTGAACGAGGAGGACATGGAGAATCTTCTAGCCTTCTACTCCGGCGGAGAGGTTCCGTCTCTGGACCTACTGAAGAGTATGAGACAAGGCTTTTCGCCCGAGTCCGTATTTGATGGCTCATTTGGGTTTTCTGTCGGGTGCTGAAAGGGATTCAACTGCACGTGAGCTCAAAATGGCAACAAGACCTGTTGCTCCCGCGGCGCAGTATCCGCGGCTGGCACAATTGCGGTACATGAATGAGGTGGGACAAATGGCGCTCCGGATCTTGGACGTAGACAGAGAGGGTGGGTATCAAAACGTCTCTTTTCTGGTCTGTTGCATCGCGGGATGCTCGGACAACGACTGCCTGAAACGCAAGCGGTGCCGTTTTTGAACTGGGTATTATTATTGGCCTGTCGATTGGACAGGCCTCACACCTCCTTCCCACGGTTTCTCGCCTGGCGCTTCTACGCGAGACCTCTCCAGGAGCACGTCTAAGACGCCCCATGTGGCCCTCTGCTGCTTGGCATCTGGAATTCCGTGGTCGACACCCGCGCTCGTGGGCGGGCCGAAAATCTTGACCCGCCCCTCGGACAGCACGAAGCCTCCGCAGGCAACCTTGGATATTCGAACTGCTGGATGAAACATATCCAGAGCGAGATGTTGCAACACGTATTGGGCGAGGGCATCAGTGAACGGCTGCGGTAGACCACCGGGTTGCTCCGACGTGTCAGCCCACTGCCGCCAGGTCCACCCCTCCTCGTCCTTATCGCCTCCAAGTCTCCTGCGCTTGGCCTCGAAATACGGGTCTCGATATTGAGATCCCGCCCTCTTGCGCCTGTCCCGGATCTGACCCGCAGGCGCATCTTCCGCCACCTCGCGTATCTTACTCGCAGTGACAAGGCGCACAAGGTCAGCACCGGGAATGATGATTTCAATGGACTTGACCCCCAGGGCAGACTCGGACGCCTCTGAAGCATCATCCTCCTCCTCGTATTGAGTCTGCGTCTCCTCGCCCACTCTTGTCGGTTGATGTTGCTTTTCATGCGGCAGTCTCCGCTGCCGACATCGCATCACCGCCGGGGCATGGAAACCCATCGTGAGCACCACGTCTTTGACAGCGTCGAAGTGGGTCTCCGCACTAAGTTCACCCGCCCACTTCTCCAGAGAACGCACCAGGCTCCGCGTGCCGAGGCTCAGGGGGCTGACCCGACAATCGAAGGTGCGGCTGAGGAAGGAGACAAGACTGGCTTTGAGAGGAGCGGGCATGCGCATCAGCAGGAGAGGTAGGTGTAGGAAGCTAGGGTCGTCCCTGACAGGTTTGGCGGGGGCGAAGTCAAGTAGGGGGTCTTGAGCCAACAGTGCCAGCTTAGAAGCTGTCGCTACATCTTCCGGGGGTAGTGCAAAGTCCTCGGCGGACGGCAGCAGCAGTGCCGCACATTCGGCATGCTCATACTGCAGTGAAATGTGTATGCCCTTTGTCCCACCAGGTTCAAGCCCCAAGCGAGTGCTCCTCCTCGAGCCGGGCGTGGCTACAGCTTGGCCGTCATCGGGTTCCGGTGCATGCATCCCGAGCCAGGAAATAGACACGGCCTCCAGGGCACCAGCCCTGGCCATGGCCCCCTCATCGGTAGGGCGATCGAGGCCCACGTCAACGCCTCTCACGACGTCACCGACCAGAAAGTCGCGAAGACGTTGGGACACGGTTTGTATTCGATGTTCCGTCAGGGGCTGGGAGCCGATGTGCAGGGGCGACAGGCGGTGGGTGGAAAAGGTGGTGTTGAGGAAGGGAGTCAAGTGGCGGTGGGGGTCGCCATGGCCACCATGGGCGAAAGAGGTGGACGAGAGAGGGGACGAGGAGTCCTGGCTACTGTTTTGGGCGGGTGTGTCTGCATTGAAGCCGAGTCCTGGGTTGGAGGTAGAAGCAGGTGACGGCACGGTTTGTGGGTCAAGTGGTCTGCTGCGTTTTGGTGGGCGCCCTGGAGGCATGTTGGTGGGCCGAGGCGAGTCGCGAGGTAATCGACAGGAGACAGCGGATGTAGTGAAGCTGCTCTTCCAAGGCTGCTGGCCGAGCTGAGTGGTGTCGACGGTATTGTCTCTTTAAAGGTCGACTGGCGATAATGGTGTCACTGCGCGCAGTCGCGTCGAGGCGCGTCGAGTCGCGTCGAGCCGCGTCACCAGGGAAGATAGCGCAGTGCGGCTTGCTAGAGGACTGACTGGTGTACCAATTATACGTATGATGGATTTGAGATGGTCGTTGAGCCTACAAAGATATAGCAGTCCAGGGAATGCAGTGCCTCACTTACGTTATTAGCAGCAAATTCGCCATGGGTTGATGAGCAACGATGGCTGCTGCTCGGACGTGGTGTAGCTAGCTCACTCTGCCGAGGAACCATTTGTGGTGGGGTGAGTCCCAAGATTATGAAACCCCGACGCAACCCTGAAGCAACCCCGGCCGGTGTCCCCCGAGAGCGCGAAACCACCCACCCCCTCTCCCCGCCTTCAAGCTGGGATCTGCATTGCGAAGAACACGAACAGCGCAGGAGGCGGTTTGGCGGTGCACCTACTACCTGCCTGCCTACCTACCTAAAGCACAAGGGTGCAGGGACGGCGGTGCGTCTCCCCAACGTCGCCCCCCGTTCCCATCTATCTACTAGCCGAACCTTAATTGGGGCCGCATCTATGTAGCAATACCCAAGTAAGCACCTACCTACCTACCCAAGTACCTACAGAGGTAGGTGGGTACTTACCACAGTAGGTATACACTTAGAACCACTGCAGGCAACCAAGCGAGATAAGATGAGGTGCCAGGGCAAATGGTGGCAGGCAGGCATACCTAGCACGGCGCAGGAAGGTGTCCCATCCAGCCAACGTACTTGAGTATGTATGGGCGTCATGGACTTGTGCTCCCAATCAACGCTGATTGGTGGCGGTGTTAGTCGTCGGCCGGTCTGCCGGTCTGCTTTGTGGTCAATTCATGCCCCGGCACTAAAACAAAACAGCCTTTGCCCGGGTCAGGATTTCCCCAGACTGCCGCGTGTACTGCGTGCCTGCGTGCCAGGCGTCGCGGTGCCAGGCGCAGCGCACGGTGGTGCAGGGCATTGTGTTACGTTACTCAGACGCCCGGGGCATGAACACTGCATGTTGCAAACCTTGGGCTGGGCGAGGGGAAGAGGGGATCCGATTGAAGTGGGTAGGTAGGCTGAGGCTGGCAGGTGGGGGAGGCGGGGGAGGGGCAACTGGGCCCTCGGGAGGACGGGGTAGGTGGGGTGGGGTGGGGTGATGGGATTGTCAATTGACCAACAAGCTGACTCGGCACAAACCTTCAGCGCACACTGCATGTGGTGTCATCGTGTATCCGTACATGTGTGCATGCCTAGGTACCTAGATGCCCAGGTGTCTACTACTAGCTACTTAAGTAGATATAAGACTGGTGCGGTGCTGGCCCAGTCCAGCCCAGTCCAGCCCAGGCCGAGCTATCTCCGTGTGATACCTGGGTACCTATCTTCCAAGTTCCAGTGTGGCCATCCTGCCGTCCGACGGCTGTGTGTTGTGTCGTCAGGCAGGCTGGTGACATAATGGCGTGCTCACTAGCTCTCTGTCTGCCACAGTACCTGCCTTACCTGGGTACGTGCCTGGGTAAACGTCATGTAAGTAAGGACAAGTACTTGCGAGCCTAGTTGGGTACCTACCTACCTAGGTGGTAGATGTATAGGTAGGCACCACAGGTTCCCCCGACGGCCTCAGTGTGCCAGCCACTTGGACCACGTTGATTTCCAATTCATGGGATTGATGCAGCCGAACCGAACCCCTGACTGCCAGACTGCCAGAGCAGCACAGCGCGGGGCAATCCGGCGTCCCAAGCTCCCCCCCCCCCCCAATCGTGCTGCCGTGCCAGCAGAGCTCTGACATGGCCGAGTGTTTCGTTGCCGAGCTACCTCCCCACTCTGCTCTCCCCGGCTCCCCCTGCCCTGCCAGTCCCTACCACGTCTGTGACTCTGTGACTCCGAGACTCTCTGTGACGGGCTATGAGGGACACCGGACAGGACATCACCCGCCAGTCTTGCCGTCGCTGCTGCTGATGCTGCGGGGTCGGCCCTTCGCGCCTCTGCTTGATTCGCCACCGTCCCCTCCTGCTTCCCAAAACGCCCTTCCTTTGCTCCTCCCCTCGCCCGTTTATATACCCCAAGCCCGTCCCTCCCCGCCCTGCCCTGATCTTCTCCTCCGCCATGCTGCCTCGTATCGCCAGACTATCACCACTCTCGGCGAGGAGCGTTCTTCTTCTCAGTCTCAAAACTGACAGACTCGCCGTCAGCAACAACAACAACCACAAAATCAATCATCTCTGCCGTTCATTCGCACTGACAGCCGTCAACATGGGCAGCGTCGAGCAGTGTCCTCTGCACTCCAATGTCGCCGGTGGCGGCACCAAGAACAAGGACTGGTGGCCAAACAAGTTGCGCCTCGACGTCCTGCGCATGCATGCCGCCTCGTCCAACCCCAATGACAAGGACTTTGACTACGCCGAGGCATTCAAGCAGCTCGACTATGCCGCCCTCAAGAAGGACCTGCACACCCTCATGACCAACTCCCAGGACTGGTGGCCCGCCGACTATGGCCACTACGGCGGCCTGATGATCCGCATGGCCTGGCACTCCGCAGGAACCTACCGCGTCTTTGACGGCCGCGGCGGAGGTGGAGACGGCCAGCAGCGCTTCGAGCCCCTCAACAGCTGGCCTGACAATGGCAATCTCGACAAGTCCCGCCGCCTGCTGTGGCCCATCAAGCAAAAGTACGGCAACAAGATCTCCTGGGCCGACCTCATGCTCCTTGCTGGCAACGTCGCCCTAGAGTCCATGGGCTTCAAGCCCTTCGGCTTCGCTGGCGGCCGTCCCGACACCTGGCAGGCCGATGAGTCTGTGTACTGGGGCAGCGAGACCACCATGTTCCCAGAGGGTAACGACACCCGTCACTCCAAGGTCCTTAAGGAGCTCAAGGCCACCGGCACCATGCAGGGCGACTGGTCAAAGGACACGGACATCCACCACCGTGAGCTCGAGGAGCCCATGGGCGCCACCCACATGGGCCTCATCTACGTCAACCCTGTCGGCCCCGATGGCGTCCCTGACCCCCTCGCCTCTGCCAGGGACATCCGCACTACCTTTGGTCGTATGGCCATGAACGATTACGAGACTGTTGCCCTTATCGCCGGCGGCCACGCCTTTGGGAAAACCCACGGTGCCGCCCCCGACAGTAACTGTGGTCCACCTCCTGCCGGCGCCGAGATCAACGAGCAGGGTTTTGGCTGGAAGAGCAAGCACGGCCATGGCAGTGCCGGCGACGCCATCACGTCCGGCCTCGAGGTCGTGTGGACGACCACCCCGACCAAGTGGGGCAACGGCTATCTCACCTCCCTGTTCAACAACGAGTGGGAGAAGGAGAAGAGCCCTGGTGGCGCCTGGCAGTGGGTAGCCAAGAACGCTGAGGCCACCATACCTGACCCCTTCGACCCCAGCAAGAAGCGTAAGCCCACCATGTTGACCAGCGATCTGGCACTACGCGTCGATCCTGAGTACGAGAAGATCTCGCGGCGCTTCCTCGAGAACCTCCCCGAGCTCGAGGATGCCTTTGCCCGTGCATGGTTCAAGCTTCTCCACCGTGACATGGGTCCTCTCTCCCGCTACCTCGGTCCCGAGGTCCCCAAGGAAGAGCTCATTTGGCAAGATCCTGTCCCCAAGGTCGACCACCCCTTGGTTGATGACAAGGATGTCGCACAGCTCAAGAAGGACTTGTTGGCCGCTGGTGTCTCACCAGATCGTCTTATCGCTACCGCTTGGGGCGCTGCTTCCTCCTTCAGAAGCAGCGACAAGCGTGGTGGCGCCAATGGCGCAAGAATTCGTCTTGAGCCTCAGAAGAACTGGGGTGCCAACAACCCACAGCAGCTGCCCCAGATCCTCAGTGCCATCGAGGGCGTGCAGAAGCAGTTCAACAGCTCCGCCCCTGGCGGCAAGAAGATCTCCTTGGCTGATGCGATCGTCCTTGCTGGCACCGCCGCGGTAGAGAAGGGCGCAAGGGACGCCGGACACAACGTCACGGTGCCCTTCACGCCGGGCCGCACAGATGCTTCGCAGGAGCAGACAGAGGTGGATTCCATTGACTACCTCGAGCCCAAGGTGGACGGGTTCCGCAACTATGGCAAATCCTCGGCGCGTGTCAAGGCTGAAGAGTACTTGGTCGACAAGGCCAACCTTCTCGGCCTCTCTCCACCCGAGCTGACCGTCCTCGTTGGCGGCCTGCGAGCTTTGAACGCGAACTGGGACGGCAACGCCAACGGCGTGTTAACGAAGCGCCCTGGCCAACTCACGAACGATTTCTTCGTCAACCTTCTGGACATGAGCACCAACTGGGTGGCCAAGGGTAACGACGGTGAGCTGTGGTCCGGAGTCGACCGCAAGACGGGTAACGAAACATGGACCGCCACTCGTGCCGATCTCGTGTTTGGTTCTCACTCGGAATTGAGGGCTATTGCCGAAGTCTACGGTAGTGCGGACGGGGAGGGCAAGTTCGTCCGAGACTTTGTCGCTGCCTGGAACAAGGTCATGATGCTGGACAGATTCGACGTCAAGGGCGGTCAGAAAGCCGGTGGCTCTGGGTACAGACTATAAAGGATCAGATTTGGCTTATACAAGCCAGCCATCCTCGCCTTAGCTATTTTACCGGAGGTGTAGGCTAGACTGTAAGCTTTGTGGTCAGAGATTGAAAGAGATTGACATTTTGGTACTCATACATTTGAAGTTGTAAGCGCGCAATAGTTGCTGTGATTTTAGAGAAATGTGGCTTGGACGAGTTCCTAGCCGTTTGATTTGTCCAGGTGGAACTCGGGACTCTTGTTAGTACCTGGGGTCCAGACTCATCGATTACCCCCTATACCTCCCGGCATAGGGAGCACAAAAACCCACAGATAGCTCAAAACTTTAGATACTCTGTATTACTAGGGTTATTTCACGCCATCCCCGAACAACTTCATGGCGAGGTCATTACGCTGATAAAACGTCGACATCCTATACTTGCTCTCGCCGTTATACTGCTGCAAATCCTCCAGCGCTTGTCGGCCCTCGCGCTTGATTGTTTGTCGGATGTCCTCTGTCCTCGGCTCAATACTGCACTCGAAGGGCCGAGGGCGCATATTAAGTCCGTTTCTAGCTTTCTGTCAGCCACAACATAGTTGATCCTCTGCTGACGTTGAAGATACTCACGTGTAGTTGAATATATCCACGTCAAAAAAACCACCCTCTGGTCGTCGTTTCTTCTGGATGTGGAAACCCCACAGAAGTCTGGCAATAGTAACCCACGTCCCCTGCTCAGCCAACGCCTGACCAGAACAAACCCTTCTTCCCCAACCAAATGTCATGTAACCTCTCTCGCCCGGAAAAGGTCTGCTTTCCGGGCTTCTGGGCAGAAATCTCCTTGGGTTAAATTGGTCAGGATCGGGGAATTCACGCTCGTTATGGTGAATTGCCCACACATTGCCCTGGATCCACGTGCCTTTCGGAATCAACCAACCGTTATACATATCGTCTTGGGTGGGTGAGTGTGGCTGCCCCCCGATGATCGCAACGGACCTCCACCTAAAAACCTCTTTGACAAGCGCATTGACGTAGGGCAAGTTGGGCTGATCGTCAAAGTGCGGGCTCCGAAAAGGGCCAACGACACGGTCAAGCTCCTCATACGCTGGCAATAAAGCCCCAGGAAATGCACAGCAGGCCAGGATGAAGGTAATCAGGGTGGAACTGCTGGTATCAGACCCAGCACCAAACAGATTCCCGCTGAGGGCGGAGATCTCCTCGTCGTCCAGGGTGTACTTTTCCCTTTCTGCAAACAGGTGCTTGACAAATGATTCCTCGTGGCCGGGCTTCTTCGCCGCCTCCTCGGCCAGCGCATAGAAGAACCCGCGTCCCCTTTTGCTACCAAGCCCGTGTTTCCAAGGAGCAATGGCGTTGGGGAACCTGGCCAGGAAAGGAAATGTCTCCATCAGCATTGGAAACTTCTTGCCGGGGACGTTAAGCTCCGCTGCCAACTGCATGACAGCGATTACTGGTTCTGTCAGCTCAGGGGTACCGGGCAGGAGCCAAAGTTGGTATACCTTCTTATAGGTAGGTACGCATCCGAGGATGCCCAGGTGGTGCTTCTGCAGCTGTAGGGCACATACCTTCTGTAATGATGGGATCCTGGCTACTTGAAACTCGCCTTCCGAACCCAATGATGCTGACTACACTCGTAGCATATCGCTCGAAATGCTTTACGTAGTCATTCGGTTCGCTGAGCAGGTCAAGCGCAACAAGCCGGCTTTCGTCATTCTGGAAGCCACGATACTTCCGGACGGCCTGCACGCCAACACCATGATGCATAAGCTTCCTCTGAAGACGCCATCTCTCCCGCTGTTCGGGGCTGAAAGTGTATTGGTTCACCAGATTTGACTGGCCGGCACCCAGCTCCGCGAAGACCAGCATCCTCGGCCGCGAGGAATATATCCCTGCTCGCTTTTCGAATAGGTCCGAGGCCGCCCAGGCGTCATTGATCCAGACCGTTGGGTTCCTGCCTATCCACACGGTCACGAGAGGGGACTTGTATGTCTTGGACAGCTCTTCAAACCACAGCCACGGCTTGTTATCAGGCAGCATGAACGTGTTGCCCACGATGGGGAATGGCAGCGGCCCCGGGGGCTTTTGACGCGGGTCAGTGGATCAGCCTGCGATACTCTGGGGATTCGGACATGGACTTCACTGCACCATTTTGGAGCGAAGCCATAGCATTCGGGCGTAGTCGAGCGCTATGCTTCCTATGGTCAAAAGAAGAGCTGTCGCGACTGTTAACCCCAAAGGGCCATCCTGGAGCAGTTTCTGCACGCCAGCCAGGCCGAGCATTTGGTCGAGATGGCTGTTTAGCATGTTGAGGGGTTCGTGTGAGTGGGTCAGATGCCTTGATCACTCGGGAATTCCGCCTTCGCCGCCTTACTGCCGACAGGTGAGATTGCGAAGGCGCGGTGGGTACTTGCGCCGAGGACAGAACACGCAACGATGGGCCGCTGAGGGACTTGAATTTGGACACAACCCAGCTAATTAATAAGTGTTGCGACGAATTGTACAGGGATGGATGTATACGCAGCCAGTCGGTCGGGCCACTTGGGGGCTGATGTTCGGACTCTACATGAGTTGCCGGGGCAGTCACTGTCCTCATATAGTTGATCAGCTCACGGGGTTGTCATTCACTCGCTACACATGGGAATTGTCCACTAGGCCAAATACGCAGCGGACACCCTGGGGGAAACCATTTGACCGCATTCCCTACCCCGCAGTCTGACGGTCGGCAATTAACCTACCCAGCCATGTCTAAGCCTAGTTACGCCCCAGGAATTTACATGATGACCGAACCGCTCGGGTAATAAATGCTTTCGCTTCTATTCCGCATACATCCGAAGACATATATGGATTATGTGTCGTTCTTTGAAGAGTGGTCTACCATTGAGTTTATTTTTATTTTATTTTTGTTTCCACCCTCCCCTCCCCCCTACCGCTCACCGCATGAAGGCGCCATGTATGTCCTCGGATGTATGCGAAATAGAGGCACTTAAGTACTAACTTTCCAGATCGACACACCGGCAGCCGGTATGTCCCCTTCGCTTCCGATGACCAACTCCGCATCGAATGCCAAGTCTGGGGCAGCCGTGGTGTCAGTACCATAGTTGAAAGCCCAGAGCAAGTCTCCTCTCCGCAAAAGCCTAAGCCCGCGACCCAGGTCATTATCCTTGTCTGCCGCCTTCCCGGTCAGATCCTTGATGTTGACGTTTGCAGCTATGTCCCCAAGGTATGCCACTAGAAACTCCACCGGCGGGTTGAAGCCCAGATAATGCCACAGGTCGCCGGACACACAGGCCATCGGCCTGCCTGCGCGGTGCTGCGATGTAGAAGTGACGGCTGCGAAGCTTGTCGCGTTGTGACGATCGCAAGAGACCCATTCTTCCCAGTAACTTATGTTGTACTTGTTTCCGCCATAAAGAACCCCGCTGTTCGCATACGGCGGTGGCGTCTCGATGCGTGTTACCCGCATGGGCAGACGGTCGCGCAGTACACCCTCGGACGGCTGAATTCCTGGGGCGTATGAGAAATTGGCGGTCAGAGCAGCAGAGCGCGGACCGAAGACGATGGGGCCGGTGTAAGCTGAGAGATGGTCGTTGAAAGAGGTCGGGATGATAGGCATGGTAGGCACGACGACCATCTTGTACCCCTCAAGGCTCTGCTCTGGTCCGATGACGTCGACCGACAAGCCCAGACGTCGCAGAGCCGAGTAGAAGGCATACACTATGTCCGCGTAGTTGAGCCCCGCGCCGGTGTAGGATGAAGACTTGACATCCCAGCTTCCACTGTATGGCTCTACGCCCCAGACCCAGACTGAAGTGTAGTCGAAGACCAGAGCCACGTCGCCCTGTGGCTCATGGGTGGTGTTTGTCCCGAGCTGCTGACGAAGGACCGGGAGGTCATTCGCGGCAACATCCATGACCTCGAAATAGCCCTCGTCCGGGCTCCCATCTGAGATGTGAAGACCGGAGAGGGTCTGTTCCTGCGCGTATGGGACTTGTCGCCAGCGGAAGTAGTTGACAAGGTCGCCCGACGCGGCAAATGTCTCAAGAGTCCAGAGGCGGACCATGCCCTCCCACGGCGCCACCCTGTGCTGGTTCCAGTTGAGCACACCGGGCTCCATCTCCATGACGCCAAAGGGGCCCTGGGCCTCACCGTATGCAGCTCCCGCGATACCCCTGTACAGGGCATGGTGAAGGGCCTGGTAGTCCGGGAGCCCCGTGCGGAGGGTGTCGAAGAGGTCTTGGTCCGAGAGCCACGAGAATTGGCCCGGGCCGGCGAGGGGGTATTCGTCGAACGTGGCAAAGTCGATACCTACTTCCCTGGCGAACTTGTGGTGGTCAAAGTCGGTGAACTGCATCATAAAGTTGGTTGTGACTGCTTGTCCTGGGGCATATTGACGGAGTATCTGTGCCTGCTCCCTGGCAAACTCCACAACCATGTCGGACGAGAAGGTGAAGAAGTCGAGTGTCAAGAGATTGTTGGTGGTGTACACCTGGAGGTAGGGCGGCTGGGCACAGAAGTCAGTGGAGCTGGGGGCTGTGGAGACTGGACTGGCGGGACGAACCAGGACGTCATCGAAGGACTTGTATTGATTTGACCAAAAGACGCTGCCGTGGGCGGCATTCATGGCCTCGACTGTGTGGTACTTGTCGTGCAGCCATGTCCTGAAGCGCCTGACGGCGTCCGGGTCATATGTGCGGACGGTGCCGTGGCAGCCGAACTCGTTGTCCAGCTGCCATGCGGCGACGGTTGGGTTGCGGCCGTAGCGCTGGGCGAGGACACGGGTGATGTTCTGGCTCAGGTCGCGGTAGGAGGATGAGCTGAAGCTGTAGTACCTGCGAGAGCCAAAGGTGTAGGTGGTGTTGGTGACGTCGACGAACATGGTGCTCGGGTAGCTGTCGACGAGCCAGTTCGGGGGGGAGGCAGTCGGGGTGCCGATGATGGCCTTGAGGCCGTAGCGTCCCAGGAGCTCGATGGTCTTGTCAAGCACCGAGAAGTCGTAGACGCCCTCCTCGGGCTCCAGGATGGCCCAGTCGAACTCGTTGATGCGCACGTACGAGATGTTGAGGTCCCTCATGGCAGCAATGTCGGGCTCCCACATGGGCTCCGGCCACTGCGATGGGTAGTAGTCGACAGCAAGGTGCAGGCCACTCGGCCAGCGGGCTGTCGAGGGCCCTGCCGAGCTGTTGTTTCCCGGGGGTGGTGAGGCGGCTGTGCGCCGGGCCAGGGCGGCCAGCAGGGAGATGCCGAGCCAGTACATTGCGGGCGGGCTTCCAACAGTACTGTGGGCAGTGAGCAACTGGGAGGGAAGCTTGCAGGCGCTGTGGGGGTGGTGGACGAGGTTATTATACTTGCAATATATATATCAGACCCAGGGACGAGGCCCCCGCCGGCCAGCACCTCCACCACCTCCACCACGACGACTGCGGGCCGGCATGCCCAACCCATGTCACGAAGGCGTCAGGATGCCCAGATGCCCACCCACCTGTCAGGTGACTGACTGACCATGGCTGCGAGTGGCTCGGCTGTGAAGGTCGGCCAAGCACCCCGCGAAATCCCCACATGCAACCCACCGGGGCCCCCACGGTGGAGTCGGGACGCCCGGCAGAATGACACAACACCGTCCTGTGCAGTCGGCCCGTCGACGAGCTTGGGTCCATTTTAAGACTGGCAGCTCCCGCCGGGCAGCACGGGGGGGAGGGGAGGGGGACAGCACGGGAGCAGAGGGTTAGGGCACCCACGGCACCCACGGCACCACGCGGTCGAGTTGCTTGGCAAGCCCGTGCCCAAGACGTCTAGGCGTCATGCTGAGACAGCCGGGACCGGGACGGGCACGAGGCGGATGCCTCTGGACAGAAACGACGGCCCCCCCCACCTCAGTCCATCCTGGCCGACGACGACCGTCAACCGACAACATGCCTGAGGATGGGGATGGCCTCGGGTCAGAGAGCCCTGCCTCGCTCAAGGACTTTCTCGCCTCCATCGCCCCCATCAAGGGCGATCTCTCAAACATCACCGCCCCGCCCTTTGTCCTCGACACAAAGTCCGTGGTCGAGCTGCCTGCCTTCTGGGCCCAGCGGCCCGCCCTGTTCGTCGCCGCCTCCGCCTCCCCGGACCCGGCCAAGAGGGCCTTGTTGGTCCTCCGCTGGTTCTTGTCCTCGCTCAGGGACCAGCAGTACGGCGGCCGCCACGACGGCGACGGCGACGGCGTGAGGAAGCCGCTAAACGCCTTTCTTGGCGAGCTCTTCCTCGCGAGGTGGCACGACCCCAGCGGCGAGACAACCTTGGTTGCAGAGCAGGTCTCCCACCACCCGCCCGTCACCGCCTGTCGCGTCTGGAACGAACAGCACGGCGTCTTCGCAGAGGGCTTCACGCGCCAGGAGATCACCCTCGGTCTTGGGAGCATCACCATCAGGCAGCTGGGCCATGCCTTGCTCACCCTGAGGGACCACGGCGGCGAGACTTACCTCATACCACTCCCCGACGTCAAGGTCAGGGGGCTCCTGTCTGGCCTCGCCGGCACCTACCCTGAGCTGGAAGGCACCTACACCATCCCCTGCACCTCTGGCTTCTACTCGGTCATCGAGTTCAGTGGCAAGTCCCTCCTGAGCACCGCCGCCAAGAACCAGGTGTCGGCCAGGATTTTCGGCCCCGGCCTGGACACCGCCGCAGGACACGAACCCCTCTACACCGTCGCAGGCCACTGGAACGAGGCATTCACCATCTACAACGGCGCCAGTATGTCCAAGGAGGCCTCTATCGAGACCGTCGTGATCCGCGACCTGCCCACCACACCAATGGAGCTTTTTGAACCCGACCTGGAGGCCCAGGACCCTTGGGAGTCCAGACGCGCCTGGAAGCACGTGCGCGATGCTCTGCAGCGCGGAGACATGGCGGCTGCAGCCAGGGCCAAGTCAGCCATCGAACAAGGGCAGCGCGCTATTCGCAAGGAAGAAGCGCGGGAAGGACGCAAGTGGGAGGCTCTGTTCTTCAGGCCCGAGTTCGAAGACGGCTTGGCGACGGGGCTGTATCGCAGCATTCTCAAGGAGCTCAGGCCCGAAGACACCGTCGCTCTCTGGAAATTCAACATCGAGTCATGGACCAAAGGCGTCCAAAAACCATTCCATGGCCACCTGCTGCCCGACAATGCGACTGCGCCCGCCCCGATCTCTGTTGCGAGGCGTAACATGTCTTCGGACCTGGACGATACCAGTCTGGCATCACCAGCATCATTCAAGACAGCACCCGAGTACATCGTGGCTGCGGGTGGCACGCAGAACGGATCTGACTCGGAGCGGGAACACACAGTCCACCGCACGCCCCCGAAGAAATCCATTCCGCCTGTCAACTCTGCGCGGCAGAGCGTCGAGCAGGGTAGCGGGGCCTTGACTCCTTCAACCCCCTCTGTTTCCCCGTCTACAAGGGGCAAGCGCCAGCGTGCGAGAGATTCCGTTGGGAAATTCAGAAAGTCCCTCTCGTCCGGCCTCTCGAAAATCGCAAGCCCTGTACGCTCAGCCAGTGAATCTAAGCAGGCCGACACTCACAAGGGCGGGGTTGTTGAAGGGTAGTTGGGACCTTGGACACAATGTGGGTGGTTTTGCTTCTATAAATCCCACATATATAAAGTATATGCGGTGCCTTCATACAGCGATGGACATTCGAATACTTTGACAAAAAGGAAAACATTGTCGGTGTCTTCTCGGATTTGACGGCACTCCAGAGAAATATCTGTTTGCTTTCCTTTCCTTTGATTAATTTTCCTATATGGATTTTTCTTGTTACGGTTGGGCTTTTGGGGGGCAGGACGAACTTCCTTCCCACTTGTGTGTTTGGATGCACGGGTTATGCTTCCTTTGTTTTGATTGTTCTTGATACCATTTTAGAGCCAGGAAAATGCAGATCGGATAGTTTTGCAGAGGCTAAAATACTACATGCTAGGATAATAATCACAAAAGCGTCTGACGAGTCACTCTTGCGGTATCACCTCAGGGCCCACTCTCATGCATACTAGTTGCCCCTGGCGTTGTGCTCGCAGTTGGGCACATACATACTTGAGTGCTCGACACAATTCCAGTTCTGGAAGAATGTATACAGTAAGTGGCTTGCAAACCAAAGCATGATGGTAGTGGAATGGCCTCCGAAGCCCTCTTCACGACCCCCAGGTCATCACTGTCGATAATCAGCTCCCTCGTCATGATCACATGAGATGCAGGTAGCCTGGGACTTTTCCACTGGGTGTGGACCAACATACGAATTGTGGTCTGAAGATCTCATTGTCCAGCTTGTCCACAAGGCCGAGCTGTCGGATCTGGGCGGAGCTTGCCAGGGGGGTTACGTGCATTGCCGGGGCTTGGCCGGGACGATCCGGAAACGCACAGCGGGGCCGCAGCAAGATCGGCCCACCACGGCGGCTGACGGTGTTGTTTCGTTGCTCTGGTGGCCTGACCACACACGAACTGTGGCTCCAGGATCAACAACCATCATGCGAGCCCAGTGCGGCGCCCACACACTCGCCGACCGTACACGTAGAGATGGAGCCACAGAAAAAATTGTTTATATAGGTGTTGCCGTCAGTCCTGCAACGGCGTTGTCATTCTGCCTCAGAAGTGTAGGCCATATTATAACAGTATACCAAAACCACCGCATATTCAGGTCACAGTTGCACATCAGTTCGACCTCAACTCCCACCGCGTCATACGGCGAAAACCAGGCCACAGGCAGACAGCATCCTCGCACATCGTGGACTAGACCCTGGGCACCCAGTTCCTCTACACCCTACCTGGCATCAACCCCCCCCCCCCCGTCCCCACGCAGCCATGCTGGCAACGGTAGCACGTCGTGCCATCTCAGCAACGACACGAGTTTACCCCCCTATTATGCCATCGGTCACAGCAACGCCAGCAGCAGCACGCCGAGGACTCGCCGGCGTCCGGTGGGTCCCCACAATCTTCGCAATGGTTTGCATAGGTTCGTCCCAGAACTCGGCGCGGAACAAAACAAAGTAACACTTTCGTGCAGGAATTAATATGCGTCTTCGCAGGCTATGGCGTCTCAGCCTACAGGCGCAACCAAATCCAGAAGTACCTTTCACGAAGCACCGACCTGGAGAAACAGGACATGGATCGAAGGAGGAGGTCGACTGTCTTGATGGATGCATATGGCGACAAGTCCAGCTTAGAGGATATTGAGCGGGCAATGGCAATTTACGAATCGCAACAGGGGAACGAGTAAAGGCAGATGGGTTTTGGGTGAGCAGCCCGGCAGGGGCGGGAAAGCATTTGTCTGGCGTTGGTTCTGGAGCGGGTTTGATGCATTTTCACGGCGTTATGTCCCAGAGCAGTACATATGTAGCAGGACTGGGACGGCACATTACTGCAGCACACGGAGTTTCGGTCCACATGGATGAGATAGCTCTCGACACACAAGTCATCAATCAATCTGTGTTTACAAGACGCCCTGGCTGGATCTCGTATGAAACAAAGATTATCTCGTGTTGGAATTGCCGCTGCCCACTGAAAACATGTTAAATACTCGTGAAGTGGAGCCAGGATCTCCAGTGCAGCGATCAACCAGTTGATTCATCTCCTTGCAGCTTCCAGTGCTCCATGACGGGGGAAAACAAATTCCTCATGATAAGGATATTATTTGATCCCGGCAATATCCCCTTCACCCGCCCATATTGTCCTATTGCTTTCTTCGACGTTGGTGTTATCCCGGGTCCTAGCCAGGATGCTCCGGCTGCCCCTCATGCTTTTATGTAGACCACACCAATTATTTATAGCACAGTGTCCAATGGTCCAGAGGAGCCATGCGAGGATACATGGCCGTGATAAATCTGGCGCTCTGAGTCCGAATCGCTCACGGGAAGGCCATCCAAGAGGCCGCGGGCCCGGTGAAGTGGAGGAAAGAACCTGTGAGCAGTCACTCGCTCTTTGTCACCGCTGCAGGCACTCGCTTGATGCCGACACCCAGAAGAATCGAAATCCTCGTCAATAACATTGGCAAAGTACCCGCGAATACGGCCCAGTCCTCGGCAGTCCAGTCTCCGATTTTCACGTAAGCCACCCAGCCCCCCACTGCCTGAGCCGTGCTGTGGTAGAAGGCGAGGTCGCTTAGCAACATGCCCAGGCACAAGACCCTCCAAAGCGAAAGATCATCAAACAGCCGCAAGACCACAGCCTCGACAAAAGCAAAATATAGCCATGCGCCACCCAGAGACGTGTAGAGGCATGTCGTATCAGGCGAGAAGGAAACCGAGTGCCGCGTGATGCTACCAAGATAAGTGCTCGGGTCAACCAACACAAGCACAGATCCTAGCACCGCAAAGAGAGGCTCGATTGTCAGGAGGATGAGCGTATAGATGTAAGGAACGCTAGCCTTTGCTGAGGCTCTTGGAGGCATTTTGTGTGCTTGTGATGGAAAAGAGACCCCGACTCAGGAGACGCCAGCAGGCCTTTACCTAGGTATGTATGCTTCTTGGACGGCGGCGAAGAGTGAGGACGATCAATCTGCGGTGACTTTTGCATTTGACGAAAAGCGGACGTTGCCCAAATCAAAGCTCGGGAGGGGGACGTACAAGTAAGTTACCGTGGGAAATGAACATCAAGAATAAGCTTTGCAGGTCACGTGAGCTGAAACCAGCACACGCCCGGACCTCGGCAGCTGTGCCGCTTCTTGGTGTCTGAAGCTCAGCGTGCTGGTCATCGGGCTCAGAGTTACCTGCACGCGTGACATGGTCTTATGAGTGACGACAGACTGTGGTAACGGGGCGCGCAGCGGGGCGTGGCTGCACAAGGGTAGCCGTTGGCGCCGCCCGTCGCTCCCGAGGTCTCTCTCCGGCGAGCTTATTACCAAACCCAAAGTATTAACTTCAAAGTGCATGCTGTATTTGAAGCCCTGGAACCATGTGACAACGCATGACACCTAGGATACAGCAACTCAGGCTTGGGCTGATGCCCACGGCCAAGGGGTCAGCCACCTGATATACCTGCAGACACGCTCCTACCACATTGAAGAGCCATGTAAAGAATATTGGTACTTACTTGTTGTGGTGCCCGAGCCATGCTCACCCCTGCCTTGACCAGAGACAAGAGGTCTATACTGCTTGCTGTGTTGGTCCCCCCTAAACTACAGTCCTCAGGTTGACTCTACATACAGTATATTACTCAAACACCAAGCTAGACTATCAGTTCCATTTGTGGATGCACGCTGTTTGACAGCCACCAAGATCCTGCCGATCACTATCACAACTACTTTTGCACGTCATACAAGTACCGTCGCCTGAATCCCCAGCCAAAGGCAATTTTGATCAGTTCTCGTATTGACATTGTCAGACAGGTCCTCTGTCACGCTAAAGATAGAGGCAAACAGCCTTGTCGATCAAAGTTACTACGCACGTCCCAGTCCAGGACAGTGGTGTATGCAATACGCGTGCTAAGAATAGATACGTTCAAAAAGACAAATTCGGTGCTTCAACAACAGGCTGTGTAAGCAGATCCCACAGCTCGAAGCTTCCGATGTTTCCGAGGGCGAGCGCCGCTCCGCCCGTCTGTGGAAACCCTGCCAGAGTTCAGTCGGGTGGAGTCGAAGCATGTGCATGCCTCGAAAGACGTTGAAGGAACAGAGCGCACGAGTCGCACAGAGTCTGAGACATGCGATTGGCGCATGTGTGTGCAGTAACCAGAGAGGCTTGTCATCCGGAACAGTCGGCAGAACTCAAAGCTCAAAGACAGGAACCCAATTTGATTGTGCCTTCCTCCTTCGGGCAGGCGGTTGCTCGAGCGGCTGAGATGACAAACCATCGGACCAATGCCCTTCCAAACTCCACGTCTGGATCCAGTAGCACCAGCTTGACAGACTTTCACCTTCGCTGCTCAGAGTTGGCTGGATGAGCCTCATGGGGCAACCGCGACAATCTTCACACAGAGGTTCCCATCAATGCAACCTCGCCGCCAAGTAATTTCGCCTCTGACACCCCGTGGGACATCTTCTTTCCAGCTGGCATGTTTGTGGTCGGCTCAGAATCAGGTCCTTGCTGTATGTAGACTGTCCTAGAATATGCGTACTCCATGTATAAATAGAGCGCTTCTCCTCCCATCATGTGCATGAAAAAGTTGATATCTGAACGACCCATAGCTACAGCACAAGAGAAATCACCACAATCATTACACACTATCACGCTCGGAATTATACCATTTCTTCCCAGCCAAAATACCGTCACCACGCTGAATATATAACAAAGCACCCATCATGCAAATCACCACAGTCGTGTCTATCATTTCTCTTGTGTCTGCGGTGTCCAGCCTGGCGGTCGAACCAAAGGCAGTGCAGGGCGACTCGACTATAAAAATTTCGCCAAGACAGCTCTGCACCGGTGACGACGACTGCTATGGCACCTCGATTTGTTGCAGCGGCTCATGTCATTCCGGGACCACTAGCTGCCGCGTGGATGGGACTTGTGACTCTAGCAATGACTGCTACGATTTTTGCGGCCAGGACGATAAAGCCGTCTGCATTAATGCTCAGTGGTGCCAGTGCTCTAGCTCTCATTGCTGAGAGGCTGCCGCACGAGGGGGCAGCTTGACGGACTGGGCTCAGCCAAAAGAGGCTCTGGGACAAGGCACCAACGGGTAATGTAGCTGCATTATGATGGATGAGAACTACCCAGGTAGTAATACTGGCCCACAGTCAATACAACAATTCCAGGAGTCCTTTTGACATCTCAAATGCTAGCCTCCGGGGCTGTTCGAAAGACGTAATATCCTATGTGAATCAAATGGAGTTTCGATATCACGGTACCCACTGGGGCTCATGACCCACCCTCTATACGCGCCGTTGACCAGCCCACCAGCCGTGACAATAGACGTCGTAGTATTCATTGGGCCTCAGACTGTGTCTGTTGCGGTCAACATAAGCAAGCTGTAGGTTCAGTAATAGTGTAGGGGTGGTTTCGTTTCTGACCCCCGTACATACAAAAAGTACGTGGCGCCTTCATACAGTGGCAAGCGCTCAAGACACAGCGTTTAACAAATACTTAGTACAATGCCAAGAACAGCGCAGAGAGAATACAACACGTGGGCACATGGCCTCGGCCTCGTGCCGCGTGTAGGGTATGTCAAGTAAGCTGTACCTAGGTATTATGATGCTTTGGAGACGGCTGTGCTGCTGGCCTAGTAGACTTGGCTATCCGACTTGCACAATGCCCGGGTATTGGAATGCTTCTCGGGTCCCGCCCAATTTGATTGCCGGTAATTACTCAAATCGCTGCCTCTGAGCCGGCCTGCAACGCCACCCGCTCGAAATCACCGTGACGTATCAGCGTATCCGTCTTTCATGGGGCCTTCCTGAATAGGCACAGTCCTGCAAGGGACGGGGGATCTTACCCCGAGTTCTGGACGATACCGCGGTGGAGATTGCTGTGACCCCGTGATGTAACGTTGAGTAGTAACATTGGCTGCGATGGGCAAGATGTAACATGGGAAAATGGATAACTATGAGAGGGCCTGCTGTGTACGTATGGGTATATTGTTCAGAAATTGACCAGAAACTTATTAGTCCTTGGGCCTGACCTCAAGTGCCGGTTGCCTTGATATTGCCCAGCTCTGCCCATCAGTATGAAGCTCGACTTCCTAGCCAGGTTCGCTCTTGTTGCTCTACTTCAGCAAGCGCGGGCCTCGACCCCGCCAAGCCTGTCCACTAACACGGCCGGGGCATTCACATACGACAACAAGTCATTCTTTCTCAATGGGGAGCCATTCACCATAATTGGGGGGCAGATGGACCCTCAGCGTATTCCTCCAGAGTACTGGAGGGACAGACTGGCAAAAGCCAGCGCCATGGGTCTGAACACTATCTTTAGTTACGTGTACTGGAACTTGTTGGAACCCGAACCCGGCGAGGTATGTATGACATGGCAAACCTGGGCACCACCCCTCGTCGAGCATTGCATAAACCAACCGTCCCAGCGTTTTTTTTCTTTAATCTTCTGCCGCAGGACATTATATTCGATGTTAGTTTTCACCACTAACCCTCAATTTTGTCGTAGTGGCGCAGCGATGAGCCCTCGAATGACATAGCAAAGTATTTCGAAATTGCTCAAGAGGAGGGATTATATGTGGTATTGCGTCCCGGGCCTTACATCTGTGGTGAGAGAGATTGGGGCGGCTTTCCCTCGTGGCTAAGCACTGTCCCCGGTCTTACCGTGAGGACGTACAACGAGCCATATTTGAACTACTCGACCAAGTATTTGGAGCGTCTCGCTGCCGATTTGAAGCACCTGCAGGTAACCAGAGGCGGACCTCTGCTGATGGTACAGGTCGAGAACGAGGTCAGTGGCATCTATCTGCTGATCAACTGCGAGCCCGGTCACGGAAGTTGCATTTGCAACCCAGCAATCCAACGGATGCTTCGAACCAAGGCTGTTGAGAAGAATTTCGGTCTGTACAAGTTGCTGAGACTAGGCTGAACAGTATGGTTCTTATGGGTCGAATCACGAGTATACCGAAGCTTTGAGGGATGTCCTGCTCAAGAACTATGATGTTCCCTTATACACGTATGTGAGGTACAAGAGTCGTCCGAGGGTACTCCGTACTGACATATTCCCGTCAGGAACGACGGAGGCGTCGAATTTACCCTGGTCGGGGGCAGTATCCCCGGTGTAAGTGCATCCTTGAGCTCATTGAGACTATACCTGCATATGTGCGTGTGTCTGTGCGAGTGCGCAATACGTCTTCTGAATGCCCTGGGTTCTTTCGCGTTTCGCATTCTGTGTCAACCTTGCTTTATCGGCCGACTCAGGACAACATAGGTACTCGCGGCTATCGACGGCGACCCCTCGAGCGGCTTTGCGGCTCGCGACAAGTACATCACAGACACATCAAGACTGGGACCGCTCCTCGACGGCGAATACTACACTTTAGGGCCTGACATTTGGGGCTCGGACAACCCCCACAATGTCGCGAAGGACAGCGATGTTGCAAGATTTGTGCGCGACCTGGAATGGGTGCTAGGAGCGAACAACTCTATTAGCTTATATGTGCGTTTGAAGCACCCCCCCCCCAATGATGGATGGTATGTACGTACTGAAGACGGGCTTAGATGTTCCATGGGGGCACCAACTTTGCTCTTGGAAGCGGATCGCTATGGAGAAACAAGACCAGTGCCTTCACAACAAGCTACGACTACGGATCACCTCTCGACGAAAGCGGTCGGACCACAGATTACTACTTCACGCTGAAGAACACGATCATGAAGTATACAAATCGCAGCCTGCCTGACGTGCCGAAAAATGTGCCCCTCCTGGGCATCCCCGAGATTCAGCTAGCCCCCAGAATACAACTACTGGATACGACTGCCGCAAACACATCTAGCGACTTTCCAGCTACGATGGAGCAGCTTGGCCAGGACTATGGCTTCGTGCTATACGAGCACAAGGTTACACGGGCCATGTCCGGTCATTTGCAACCCGGAGATCGTCCCAGGGATCGAGTGATTGTCTATGTCAATGAAACACGCATTGGTGTCATTGATAGCATTTGTATGTCTCTCTTCTCGCATCATTGATATCCCTCGTACAACCGGCAAAGCCTCAGTCTGCGCAAACTCTACCTCTCGCCCCAACCCCCTTCCCATCGACTTGCCCATAGGCGGAGCAAAAGGGTGTCGATGGTTTCCTGCATGCAGCTGACAGTTCCAAGACCAGTATCCGATGAACATCACCTTGGACGTCAGTCCAGGTGACACGGTCTCACTCCTAGTGGAGAACCTTGGGCGAGTGGACTATTGGTCGCTTGAAGCCTACACGTTTGATGGGTTGAGAGATCCATACAAGGGCATTGTCGGAAATGTGACAATCGGGAACTCCACGCTCAAGAGGTGGACAATGAAGTCGTTCCCTTTGAGAGATGCCCCTCTCTTGGCGTCGGACACAGATGTTTCTTCGGCTACAGTGTCGCCATTATTTTACTCCGGGGTATTTCATGTCCCGAACTACTCCAGCCCAGCAAAGCTTGACACTTTTATTGCAATCCCTAATGGCACAAAGGGCGTCGTGTGGGTGAACGGTTTCAACCTTGGGAGGTACTGGATTATCGGGCCTCAGCAGTCACTCTACCTCCCAGGCACTATCCTTAAAGCCGGAGAGGATAATGAGATTGTAGTACTTGAACTTGAACCGGAGCCGGACCGGCCAATGTTTGCAAAAGGCGAGGTAGCCCGTGTGTGGGGGAATAATCCTGATCCCGACTATCTATTATAATAGATTAGCTATAATTAATAAGCTAGTGTCCACCTACCCAGCTCTAACGTCCACATACCTAGTGATTTCCGTGGACCTACCTAGTACTAACTTTTTATATATAGGGCCTATATAAAACTATATACTTAACTAAGATTCTCTAAATTTTTAGTACTTTAAGTATAAGCCCCTTTTAGACCCCTTCTAGCACACCTTTTAGCATACCTTTTAGCACACCTTCTAACACACCTTCTAGCACACCTCCTAAGCTATATATATTTAAATATTAATTAAATATTAAAAGCTTAAAAGTTAAAAAAGTAATAATAAAGATTATATTCTTTCTAATTTTTTTATACTTTTTTTAATCTTTTAATACTTTAAACTTTTAATCTTTTAAGCTTTAATTAATATTTATATATATATATAATTTAAAAGATTTAAAAAGTATGTTAAAAAGTATATTAAAAATAACTTATATTTAAAGTATTAAAAATTAAAAAGAAATTATATTATAAACTCTTTTAATATTAATTTAAAAGTATTTATAAATATAAAAGACTTATTAAAAGAATATTAAATAAGTTTATTAAAATTCTTAAATAAATAAATATTAATTTATAATTTATAAGTTAAATTATAATAAAAGTAAATAAATGTATAAATAATTAATATTTTATTTAAAGTAATATTAACTTTAATATTAAACTTTTAAAAATAATAAATATTATTTCATATTTATTATATTAATTATATATATAAAGAATTATTTTACTTACTTTATAAAGTTTTTATTATTTTAAATATTATTTTTATATTATTAATTCTACTTTAATAATTAAAGTTAATATATTTATATAATATAATTAAATTATCTTTATATTAAAATAATATATTTTATAATATAATTAATTATATAATATATTATTATAAAGCTTTTATAATTATATATTAAGTTAATATTTATATATTTAATATTAATATTTATTTATTTAATAATATTTATAAAATTATTTAATATTTATTTTTCTTAATAACTCCCTTATATTTATAAGTACTTTTTAAGTTAATATTAAAAAATCTTATAATATAATTTCCTTCTTTAATTTTTAATACTTTAAGTATAAGCCCCTTTTATTATACCTTTTAGCACCCCTTTATCTTTACCTTCTAACACCCTTTTAGCGCCCCCTTTAATTTATATACCTTTAAGAATTAACTCTCTATCTAAATACTAACTAAGTATTTAAATACTAACTAAATATTAAAAGCCTAGAAGGTAAGAATGTAAAAGTAAAGACTATACTCTTTCTAACCTTCTAGTACCCCTTCTAGTTTTCTAACTCTTTAAATTTCAAACCTTTTAATATTTAATTAGCATTTAAATACTTAATTAATACCTAGATAGAAAGTTAATACTTAAAAGGATATAAGTTAAAAGGAGTACTAGAAGGAGTGCTAAAAGGAGTGCTAGAAGGGGTACTAGAAGGGGTACTAGAAGAGGTATTAAAAGGGGTGCTAGAAGGGGTGTTAGAAGAGGTGCTAAAAGGGGTGCTAGAAGGGGTATTAAAAGGGGTTTAAAAGGGGTTTAAAAGGGGTTTAAAAGGGGGTTATACTTAAAATATTAAAAATTTAAAAAGTTTTAATTAAATATATAATTTTATATAAACTTTATATATAAAAAGTTAATATTAAATAAATTTATAGAAATTATTAAATAAATAAATATTAAAATTAAATAAATAAATATTAACTTTTATATATATATAATATATTTATATTATATTTAAATAGTAATATATTAATATTATTATATATAATAATATATATATAGTTTTATTTAAAATAAAATATATTATTATTATTATTTTTAAATATAAAGTTAAAAATTTATAATTATAATTTTTAATTAATTTTTATTTAATTATTTTATTATATTATAACTTAATTTTATTTTATTTAATTTTATTTTTAAATTTTTTTAATATTTTTCTTTTAAGAGAGTTTAATTTAAAAGAAAGCTTTTAAGTTTAAGTTTAAGATTTTATAAACTTAAATTTCCTTTAAATTAAATTTATAATTTTTAACTTTTTAAAAATAGATTAATTATTTTAAATATTAATAAATTCTTTTAAAGTAAAAATTTATTTTTATATAATTATAAATTTAATTATTAATAATTATTTTTATTTATAATAAAATTATTAAAATTATAAATTTAAATAATAAAATATAATTACTTTATTTAAAGGTTATTTTTAATTTAATAGATTATATAATAAATTAAATAACTACTTTTAAATAGTTTTATTTATAATATAATAAAGTTAATAAATAGATTTTTATTTAAATAAAATTAAAACTTTAATTAAAAGAATAATAATTTTATTTTTATTTATTTTAATTAATTTATATATAATATTTAATAATATTAAAATTAAATAGTTTAAAATTTATAATAGTTTTAATTTTTAATAAATTAATAATATTAATTTAAATAAATTAAATATAATTTAATATATTAATATAAAAATATTTTTAATAATAAATAATATTATAAATATAATAGATTATAAAGTTATTATAAAAACTTTATATAATAAATTTAATAAAATTAATTTTTAAAAATATATTATATTTTATTCCTTTAAAATTTTAATTATTTATTTTAATTAAATAATAAAATTAAAAATATAAATAATTTATATTAATATTTTTAATATTAATATATTTTTGTTTAATTTTATAATATATTAAATTAATAAAAATTATTTTATATTTATAATAAAGTTTTATATAATAATATAAATATAAATTATATATAATATAAACTATTTATATATTTTTAATTTTATTATTAAATTAAAATAAATAGTTAAAGTTTTAAAAAATAAAATATAATATATTTTTAAGAATTAATTTAATTAAGTTTATTATATAAAACTTTTATAATAACTTTATAATTATTTATAATATTATTTATTATTAAAAGATATTTTTATATTAATATATTAAGTTATATTAATTTAAATTAATATATTAAAGGTTAAAATTATTATAAATTATAAGTTAATTTTAATATTATTAAATATTATATATAAGGTTATTATATAATTTAAATAAGTTAATTAAAATAAATAAAAATAAAGTTATTATTCCTCTAACTAAAGTTCTAACTTTATTTAAATAAATATTTATTAAATAAGATTATTGAAAAATAATTATTTAAATTAATTTATTAAATTAAAATATAATTAAATAAAATAATTATATTTTATTATTACTTTAAGTTTATAGTTTTAATAAATTAAAGAAAATTATTAATAATTAAGTTTATAATTATATAAAATAGATTTTATTTTTAAAAAAGTTATTATTATTTAAAATAGTTAATATATTTTTAAAAAGTTAAAAATTATAAGTTTAATTTAAAATAAATTAAGATTTATAAAAATCTTAAATTTAAGTTTAAAGATTTTAATTTAAATTTAACTTATTTAAAAGGAAAATATTAAATAAATTTAAAAAGACTTAAATAAAATTAAAGATTAAATTAAATTATAATATAATAAAATAATTAAATAAAATTAATTTAAAATTATAATTATAAATTTTTAATTTTATACTTAAAAGGGATTATATATATATAATATAATTTAAATATTTTTAAATACTTTTATATAATATTATATTTTTATTTATTAAATTATTTAATAAAATATAAATATTAAATTATTTTTTTATTATTTGTTTTATATTCTTTTATTTAATATTTAATAAAAATATAATTTAATTTTAATTTAATATATTATTTTAAGTTTATTTTAATATATTGAATTATTAAGTTATATTTTTTAAAAATAAATTAATAATTTAAAATTATAATTTTTATTTAATTAAATTATATTATATAAATATAATATTCTATAATTATTAATTTCTAATAATCTTATATAATAGCTTACTTTATTTAAAATAAATATTTATTAATTTAAATTAATTTTTAAAAGATTTAATTTTTAAAAACTTATATTATATTAAAAATATTTAATATTAAACTTTAATTTTTAAAATAGTTTTTATCCTTTAAAATAGTTTTTTAAGTTTTTAATAATATTAATTAATTAATATTAAATTATTTTTAATTAAAATCATAAAATTATTTAAAATTATTATAAATTACAATATTAAAACTTTAAAATAAATTATTAAACTTTATATTTTAAATTATATTTAAAGTTTTATTTTTAAAATTAAAATTTCTATTTAATTAAAGTCTACTTTTTATTTTTTAAGAATTATATTAAAAGATAATTTATTTATTTATTACCTTTATTTTATTTTTAATTTATTTTCTTTTTATTTTTATTTTTATTTTTAAATTTATTTATTAATATAATCCTTTTAAAATATAAATTAAAATATATAATTAATTTATTTTAAAATTATAATAATTTAAAGTAAAATTATAAAATTATATTTCTTATATAAAATTATTTTATTAATTAAATAAAATATTAATATAATTTTAATAAAATAATGATATAACTTTTATTAATTTATTTATAATTAACCTTTTATAATAGAGTTATATAGAATGTTTTTTAAAATAAATTAATAAATTAAAATTAAACTAATAGCTAAATAGAAGTTAAGGTAGTAAAGCTTAGAGTAGCTCTAATAATAAAAGCTTAATTTAGTTAGGTTAAAATAAAAAATTACCTTTAAAAAAGGTTCTAATAGCCTTAGTAGGATTTAAATTTATACTCTTTTAAAGTAAAAAATAGCTAGATACTTAACTACTATATTATAAAGTCTATTCTTAATAATATAGTTTTTATATTTATATATATTATTTATTAAATAAATTATTAAATAATAATTTTTAAAATATTTTTATAATTAATTATTATATGTATTATTATTAATATTTATAATTATATTATATATTTTAATATATATTATAATAATAAAAGTAAATTAATTTATAAAATACTTTTAATAAATTAAATATATTAATA